CAGCCCGGTGTGTTTCCACGGGCCCCCCCCCCCCCCCGGCCCAAAACAGTCCAGTGGCACCTTTAAGACCAGGTTTTATTCAGGTACAAGCTCTCCCTCCTCTGCGAGGACAGATCTGCACGTCCCCCCACCCCCCAATAGCTAGCAATCAAAAACAGTCCATTGGAACCTGAGCAGTGGGCGTTGCCTTCTGACACACTTCCGGTGATGTCAGGGGGTGTGGCATATGCAAATAAGTTATGCTAATGAACTCCTGCACCTCTTTTTCTACTAAATTACCCCTGGCTGGGTTTTTGCCAGGCCGTTGATTCTTATGTTGGCGTTGATATTAATATTGGGGCCAGGGCCTCAGTATTAGAAAGGCTGCACCCTAATTGAAGGCCCGGTGGAAGAGCTCCATCTTACAGGCCCTGCGGAACTGTAAAAGGTCCCGCAGGGCCCTGATGTCGCCTGGGAGCTCATTCCACCAGTGTGGGGCCGTCACAGAAAAGGCCCTGTTCCTTGTCACAGCTAGCCTGGTCTCTTTAGGGCCTGGAAGGGCCAGACGGTTTTGGGACCCCGATCGTAGTGCTCTTTGGGGAACATGTGGGGAAAGATGGTAATGTATCACAGTGGTTCAGAGAGTTGACTCTGAAGGGAAAGGGACTGTGGATTGTGGACTATTTCACTGAGTACAGGACTGGTTGTCTGTTTGCTGTATGTATGTTCCTGCCACCACTGCATTATTTTCTACTAACGTTAATACCATTTCTTCTACTGTAATGCACTCAGCTTGGGAACGCCAACTGGTTCAGAATGTGGTGGCTCAGCTGTGAGCGGGAGCTAGACAGAGCAGGTCTGTTCCACTCCCATTCTGGTCGCCCATCTGTTACCCGGCTCAGTTTAAGAAGAAGAAGAGATTGGGTTTAGACCCCGCCCTTCACTCGGAGTCTCAGAGTGGCTTACAAACTCCTTTCCCTTCCCCTCCCCACAACAGCCACCCTGTGAGGTGGGTGGGGCTGAGAGAGCTCTGAGAGAACTACTCTCGTTAGAACTATAAAAATCAGAAAATATATGCTATTTAAATAAGTTAACGTGATATGCTTTTTTACAAGGTTGGAATACAAAAAATACGGTCAGTTTCAAATAAACCAAAGTGGTTTTTAATGGAGCAAATGATGTTGACAATGTGCTCCGGAATGTCCTCTGTCGTTTCGACGTTCCTTCTTCTGAACAAGATTCTATAGATAATTTCCAGTTTTTTGAATCATCCATAAGAGTAGAAATGAAGCCTGATGCTCACATATTTTTTCTTCATAGGTCAATAACAAAGCACAATGGCTAGTAGAAAGTTCATTTTGGGCGAGTTGCAGTCAAATGGAACGACACATCCATTGCTTCGTTAAAAACCACTTCTGTTTACTTGAAACTGACTGTATTTTTTGGATTCCAACCTTGTAAAAAAGCGTATCACTTTAACAAGAGAAGAAGAGATTGGATGTATACCCCGCCCTTCACTACCCAAAGTAGTCTCAGAGCGGTTTACAAACTCCTTTCCCTTCCCCTCCCCACACAGACACCCAGTGAGGTAGAAGAAGAAGAAGAAGAGATTGGATTTATACCCCGCCCTTCATTTGGAGTCTCAGAGTGGTTTACAATCTCCTTTCCCTTCCCCTCCCCACAACAGACACCCTGTGAGGTGGGTGGGGCTGAGAGAACTCTGACACAAACTGCTCTTTTTCAAGGACAGCTGTGCCAGAGCTTGTGACTGACCCAAGGTCACATCAGCAGGTGCAAGTGGAGGGGTGGGGACTCAAACCCGGTTCTCCCAGATTAGAGTCCGCACACTGAACCACTACACCAAACTGGCTCTTAACTTATTTAAATAGCATATATTTCCTGATTTTTGCAGTACTGTATTATTTAGTTTAGCGCACTCATCACAGTAACAATCCCCGTGTAGTTTATAATCCATATACTGTGTACCATACTCTGTTTGCTTAACTCGTCAGAACGATGGCTTGCCCAAGGTCATGCCAGCAGGTGCGAGTGGAGGGGTGGGGAATCAAACCCGGTTCTCCCAGATTAGAGTCCGTGCACTTAACCACGACACCAAACTGGCTCTCTAAGGTACTGTAAGGTACTGGCTATGGCATGCAAGGAGCTGCGGTGGCTCAAGTAGTTAAGACGCTGAACTGCAGGCTGTGGAAGGTCGGTAGTTCAGCAGTTCGAGTCCCAGGTGCCGCATGATGGAGTGAGCTCCCGTCTCTAGTTCCAGCTCCTGCCAACCTAGCAGTTCGAAAGCAAGAAATTGCAAGTAGATAAATAGGTACCACTTCGGTGGGAAGGGAACAGCATTCCGTGCGCCTTGGTGTTTAGTCATGCCGGCCACATGACCACGGAAACGTCTTCGGACAGCGCTGGCTCTTCGGCTTTGAAACGGAGATGAGCACCGCAACCGTAGAGTCGGACTAGACTGGCTTTCGAGCAAGGGAACCTTTACCTTTACCTATGTCATGCAAAGCCCTTCCCGGCCTTTGGTCCCTCTTATTTGCGGGCCTGCCTCCCCCCCCCCCTCGATGTTCCACAAGGACAACTTTGCTCAAGTCAGCAGGGGCCTCTTCATGGGCAAAATCAACAACTGCCCACCCACGTGCTTTCTCCATCATGGCTCCGGCCCTGTGGAACTCCGGCCTGCACGAGAAGGTCAGAAAAGCTCCCCCTCGCCTGGCCTTCTGCAAACTCTGTGTAACTGAATCATTCCGGAGGACTTTCCTGCACAGGTAATAAGGCCGCACGATACAAAAGGGTTTCACAAACTAACTTGGACAAACGATCGGGACTGCAGTCTACACTGCTGAGTACAGCTTATTGTAAATAGGAGCCTATTATGTAATTTCTGTACTGCTTAATTAAGCCTTAATATGTCACGTTAATACTTAGGCTTCGTTTCTTTTTTCCCCTGGCGGTTGCAGACTTCTAAAATCCTAATAAATAGGTTAAAGGTAAAGGTTTTCCTTGCTTGAAAGCCAGTCGAATCCGACTCTAGGGGCGCGGTGCTCGTCTCCGTTCCCAAGCCGAAGAGCCAGCGCTGTCCGAAGACTTCTCCGTGGTCATGTGGCCGGCATGACCAGAAGCCGATGCTCACGGGATGCTGTTACCTTCCCACTGAAGCGGTACCTATTTATCTACTTGCAATTTCTTGCTTTCAAACTGCTAGGTTGGCAGGAGCTGGGACCAGAGACGGGAGCTCACTCTGTCACACACTCGGGTCTCGAACTGCCAAACTACCAACCTTCCGGTCTGCAGCTCAGCGTCTCAACCACTTGAGCCACCGCAGCCCCTAATAAATAGGTTACTGATTGTCAAATTTTGTACAGACTCGCTATGTGTAATCTGACTTCAGTCCTGATGAGAAAGGCAGATGATAAATAATGTAGATAAAAATAAATATATTTTCTGCATTGTATCTAATTATATAAGACTGTTTTTCCGCACTGTATCTGCATTCTGAATCATAACTAATATTCTATGCCTGTTCCAGATTTCTGAACTCTCAGTTCCAAAATCAGATGTCTCAGCCTGGGGATTGCATCGATTTACACAATGTAATCCGCTTTGATTCTCTGTGAGACTTGAACTACAAGCATAGCAAAAACATTAATAAATTGTTGGTGCATTTACCTGGACGTCAGCCATTTTGAATACACTGCTTTTGCACAAACATGCATAGGACTGGGTCACGTACAAAAATCCAGGTATCAGAGAGGGGCGAATGGGTTAAAGAATAGAGTTGCCAGCCCTGGGCTAGGAAATACCTGGAGACTTTGGGCGTGGAGCTTGGGGGAGGCGGGGTTTGGAGAGGGTAGGGACTTCGCAGAGGATCCACCCTCCAAAGCTGCCCCATCCTTGGGTGGGGGGGGGGAGGAGGAGGAGGAGGAAGAAGAAGAGGAGGAGGAGGAAGAAGAGATTGGATTTATACCCCGCCCTTCACTCGGAGTCTCAGAGCGGCTTACAATCTCCTTTCCCTTCCCCTCCCCACAACAGACAGACACCCTGTGAGGTAGGCGGGGCTGAGAGAGCTCTGTCCTTGAGAGAACAGCTCTGACAGAGCTACGGCTTGCCCAAGGTCATCCAGCAGCTGCGAGTGGAGGAGTGGGGAATCCAACCCGGTTCTCCCAGATTAGAGTCCGCGCACTTAACCACCACACCAAACTGGATCTCTGAACTGATCTCTGTAGTCTGGAAATCAGTGACAATTCCGGGAGATCTCCAGGCCCCACCTGCAGGCTGGCAACCCGAAGTAACCGCCAGGCTTTCCACCATGGAAACTCTCCTTCTAATCCACGGGAGGGGGGAGGTAGCCTGGCCCGAAGCGGGATGCTGAATCCGGATCCGCTAATCCAGGAACACCCTGGATTGTGCACAGAGGGGGTGGGGTGGGGACGCAGACTCACCTGGAGGCAACGGCCATGGGGATGCCCTCCTGATGAAGCCGTTCCAGCACAGCCCGGACTTCGGGGTACAGCTTCACGGACTGCCCGTTCCGGTCCCAAACGGAGCCGTCGCTGGGAGCAATACAGGCACGGAGGCCGAGGCAGGTTTAGAGGGCCCACCTTTGACACAGCAGGCAAACCCATCCCCCCCCCAGAGGTGCAGCTTCCCCCAGCACACCTTTCGTTTCAGAAGGGGCGCTGCAGAATAGGCCCTCTCCCGGGTGGGACCCTGCGAGGGGAAAGCGTCTCCTCCTCCTCCTCCTCCCAGGGGGCCTATTCATTGCCCTGGGCCAGGGGAAGGAGGACAGGGCGGCTCCAGTCTGTGGTTTGCAGAGGATCAGGCCCTTCTACTCTCTTTTGCAGCAGTTGGGGGGGGGGGAAGCATGCAACCAACCCCCCCCCATGTTTTTCTCACACACTCCCCCCCTCTCATTTCTCACCTGCTCTTCCGGAAAGGGGGGTCCACATGGGTGTCCACCCAGAAAGGCCAGAGGGTATAATCTGCCAAGAACAGAGAGGAAAAGCAGCTGGAATCCCCCCCCCCCTTTCCCGTCTTCTTCCCCTGCAAATCGTACAGTCCCACCCTCCCGATGCTCCCACTCTGCCTCTGCCGGCTACAGGGCAGCCATTCAACCGATGAAGTCAGGGCAATGGGGGTTAGGGAACCTCCTCCACCTGTTGGGTTGCTGCCTGGCACAGAGCCACAAGGAGCCTTTGGCCAGCGACAGGGCAGCCATTCAACCGATGAAGAGGGACGGGGGTTGGGAGAGCGCCACCTGTTGAATTGCTGCCTGGCACAGAGCCACAAGGAGCCTTTGGCCAGTGACAGGGCAACTATTCAACCGATGACGTCAGAGCAATGGGGTCAGGGAACCTCCACCTGTTGGGTTGCTGCCGGGCACAGAGCTACAGGAGCCTTTGGCCAGCGACAGGGCAACTATTGAACAGGTGAAGTCACAGCAATGGGGTCAGGGCACCTCCACCTGTTGGGTTGCTGCCTGGCACAGAGCCACAAGGAGCCTTTGGCCAGTGACAGGGCAACTATTCAACCGATGACGTCAGAGCAATGGGGTCAGGGAACCTCCACCTGTTGGGTTGCTGCCGGGCACAGAGCTACAGGAGCCTTTGGCCAGCGACAGGGCAACTATTGAACAGGTGAAGTCACAGCAATGGGGTCAGGGCACCTCCACCTGTTGGGTTGCTGCCTGGCACAGAGCCACAGGAGCCTTTGGCCAGCTACAGGGCAGCCATTCAACCGGTGAAGTCAGAGCAGTGGGGTCAGGGCACCTCCACCTGTTGAGTTCCTGCCTGGCACAGAGCTACAGGAGCCTTTGGCCAGCTACAGGGCAACTATTCAACCGGTGAAGTCAGAGCAGTGAGGTCAGGGCACCTCCACCTGTTGAGTTCCTGCCTGGCACAGAGCCACAGGAGCCTTTGGCCAGCTACAGGGCAACTATTCAACCGGTGAAGTCAGAGCAGTGGGGTCAGGGCACCTCCACCTGTTGAGTTCCTGCCTGGCACAGAGCTACAGGAGCCTTTGGCCAGCGACAGGGCAACTATTCAACCGGTGAAGTCAGAGCAGTGGGGTCAGGGCACCTCCACCTGTTGAGTTGCTGCCTGGCACAGAGCTACAGGAGCCTCTGGCCAGCTACAGGGCAGCCATTCAACCAACGAAGAGGGACGGAGTGGGTGGGTTGGTGGGAGAGCTCCACCTGTTGGATTGCCGCCTGGCCCGCGGATGACAATCCTCGAATCCAGCCCCGGCATTCTCGGGCAAGGGGGGGGGGGGGAGAGAAGGGTGCCGCCAACCTTCTCCCCCTTTATCCTCCCGACCCCACCCCCTCCTCTGCCGACCCAGGCCCGTTCGCGTGGGGGGCAGCGCTCCGACGTGCAGGGGGCAGGCAGACACGCAACCCGGGAAGGGCCGCCCCTCCCTCCGCCTGCCCCGGGGCGAGGCCGGATCCGCACGCACCCAGGTCGAAGACCACCAGCGACGGCCGCTCGCCCATCTGGGTGCCGGTTCGAGGCTTCCGCCTTCCCTTCCTCCACGCGACGCCCGTCCCGGCCGCCTTCTGCCCATCCCGGCTCGCTCGGCTCCGGCCAGCCCTCCTCGCCCACGTGCTGCCGGAGGCGCCGGTTAACTGCTTCGGCGCCAGCCCGCTTGTTTTTGGGAGGTCGGGGGATGCAGCAGCCCTCCCCCCCCCCGGGGGAGGACCTTTAAATTTTTCTTTTCATCGTTTTATTTACTGCATTAATACCCCGCCTTTCTCTCCAATAGGAGCTGCGGTGGCTCAAGTGGTTAAGGCGCTGAACTGCAGGCTGTGGAAGGTCGGTAGTTCAGCAGTTCGAGACCCGCGTGTGCCCGCATGACGGAGTGAGCTCCTGTCTCTAGTTCCAGCTCCTGCCAACCTAGCAGTTCGAAAGCAAGAAATTGCAAGGAGATAAATAGGGACCACTTTGGTGGGAAGGGAACAGCGTTCCGTGCGCCTTGGTGTTTAGTCGCGCCGGCCACATGACCACGGAAACGTCTTCGGACAGCGCTGGCCCTTTGGCTTTGAAACGGAGATGAGCACCACAACCCTAGAGTCGGACTTGACTGGCTTTCGAGCAAGGGAACCTTTACCAATGCCCCCCCAGAGGCTTACATTGCTCGCCTTTTCACCATTCCACCTTCACAACCGCCCTATAAGCCGTGGAGTCTTGTGAGCAAAACGTTCTTTATTTTGGAGAATTTGGGGGGGTGGGGTTTGGGGAAGGGAGGGACTTCCGCGGGGTATATTGCCGTAGAGTCTACCTTTCAGAGGGGCCATTTCCCCCAGGGGAACTGATCTGTGTTGTCTTGAAGATCAGTTGTGTGAATCCAGGAGAGCTCCAGCTACCACCTGGAGGTTGGCAACATTGTCCAGGGCAGAGTGGGGATTTGAACCCAGGTCTCCCAGCTGTTCCCTGGAAGGCCAGATAATGAAACTGAAGCTCAAATCCTTTGGCCACCCAATGAGAAGGGAGCACTCACTGGAGGAGAAGACCCTGATGCTGGGAAAGATTGAAGGTCAAAGAAGACGGGGACGATGGCAAAGGATGAGATGGTTGGACAGTGTCATAGATGCAACGAACATGAAACTGAGCCAACTTCAGAGGATGGCGGGCCTGGCGTGATCTTGTCCATGGGGTCGCGAAGAGTCGGACTCGACTGTGCAACTGAACAACAACTCCCAGATGCTAGTCTGGCCCTCTAATCACAACACCATGCTGGCTCTCATGCCAACCACACTTTTGTGTCCAGGACCCAGGACGGGGACAGCAAACACTTGATTTATGGGGATGCAGGATTTCCTTAGTTCTCTTCCTCCTCGTTCTTTGCACGCCTGCCCTTCCGTGAACCAGATTCAACTTTGCTTCTTCCCTTTTCTTCCTCCCCAGCCTACCAGTTGAAAAAGCAATGAAATTAACTGCACTAGGGTGCCACAGTAAAACTTAGCAGGAGTCTGATGCCCCGTCAAAACTACTTTTCAGCACCAGCTTAGACTCGACTTCAGCAGAGGCGTGAAGCAAAGCCCCAAAACAAGAAGGCCCCTAAAACTTGTTATGGAACACAGGAAGCTGCTTTACACTGGACGGAACCATCAAGGGTGAATTCTTTGACATTACTTCCCACTTGGACCTTTCAATTGGGGAGGCAGGGGATTGAACCTTGGACTTCCTGCACGCAAAGCAGATGTCAGACGCCTTGAGTCAACCAGCTCCCAACGACAGTCATTCAACAGAATAAAAGTTTATTGAGACATTTGTGGCATTGAGGTATCTTAACTGTTTCGTGTTAGAACTGAGGAGAAAGCGAGCGAAGCAAATAGATATACAGAATTCACAGGGGACCCAAATGGCTCATGGCCAATAAGAGGACAGGTAGAAGTCCGCCGAAGTCGCGGGCCACTTTTCCCAAGAGAAAGATGCCAGACACTCAACGTTACACGGCTCAGCTTACAAATAACTAAAACAGTAGAGACTCAGCAGAAACAAAACTAGACGTTCCACAGTTTCCCCTCCCCATTCTCATGACAGCTGGGACCGTATAGAGGCAGATGTTCTGCCACTCAGCCAAAACCACAAACTGGCTTTATATTCGGGAACTGATGCCAGTTCTGGGGGAAAGGGCCCAGGGTGGAAGTATGAACATGCTGCTGGAATCCTCATGTCAAGAGTCTTTTTGATCCATTTCTGGTGTTATTTCGTCTCAGACAGAGGTCTTTTAACATCACTTCCTACCTGTTAGCTGGAGGTGCCGGGGATCGAACCTGGGACCTTCTGCATGCCAAGCAGAGGCTCTTCCACTGAGTCACAGTCCCTCCCTCCCAAAGAAATCCAAGGCATCTGTATGGGGAGGGAGGGACATGTAGCTGCATGTCCATTCAGACTGGCAGTGGCTCTCCAGGGTCACAGGATGAGGTCTTCCCTATCCTTGAGAGCCAGTTGGGTGTCGTGGTTAAGTGCGCGGACTCTAATCTGGGAGAACCGGGTTTGAGTCCCCACTCCTCCACTTGCAGCTGCTGGATGACCTTGGGCAAGCCACAGTTCTGTCAGAGCTGTTCCCTCAAGGACAGTTCTCTTAGAACTCTCTCAGCCCCGCCTACCTCACAGGCAGTGTTCCCTCTAAGCTGAGTCAGTGTGAGCCAGCTCACACATTTTTGTCTTCGCTCAGGAAGGAGGGCTCCAGTCCAGGGCAAACTAATTTATGCAGTAGCCTAATCACCTGCCTGCTCACAACTTTAATGCTGGTAGCTCACAAAGTTGAAGTTTTGCTCACAGGACTCCACAGCTTAGAGGGAACATTGCTCACAGGGTGCCTGTTGTGGGGAGGGGAAGGGAAAGGAGTTTGTAAGCCTCTCTGAGACTCCCGCGTGAAGGGCAGGGTATAAATCCAATTCTCTTCTTCTTCATCACCTGTAGTCTTAATCCTTTTGACTGGAGATGCCGGGGATTGAACCTGAGACATTCTGCATGCCGAGCAGAGGCTCTGCCACTGAGCCACATGTGAGATGTCATTGTTAAGACGAACCAAAATAATGCAGTACCAAAGAAGCTTTTGAGTCCTGCAGAACTCTTCCTACAGACCAGCTTGAGAAAGCATTCTGGGAGACTAGCTGAACAAAACGCTACTAGCTCAGATAAATGTTGGAAATGTAAGAATAAGACTGGTTCATTCTATCATATGTGGTGGCTATGTGATGTTACAAAAAGGTTTTGGAGATGGGTACATGAAATAATGCAAAAAATTATAAGAACTAAGGTCCCATTTACTCCAGAGATATTGCTCTTGAATAGATTTCTGAAATATTTTGATAAAGCAGACAGGTATTTGATTTTTTATTTGTCAACAGCTGCAAGGATTTTATATGCTAAATATTGGAAAACAATGGAGACTCCAACGAAACAAGAATACGTGAATAAGCTGTTTGAAACGGCTGAGAATGATAAATTAACGTTGGAAATGAGAGCTGGAACGGAATGGACTTTTCAAAAAACTTGGAAGAGATTTTATGACTGGTATAATATAAGCGTAACAACCTGATGGAATTTGAGTACGCAGAAAAGATAAGCTAGCAAAATAGATCATGAGATCTGGAATGTAATAATTAGATAATTGAAGGATAGAAGATGGAATATGCCTCCTGTTATATGTTTTATGTTTGTTAGTGGTAGTTTTATGTTGTTGGTTTCTATATATGTTTGTAGTGTATAATGGAAAACAATAAAAGTGTACCCTTGGGTACTTAAAAAAAAAGAGAGAGAAAGCATTCTGGGGTTCCTAAAAGCCTGTGCGTGGTATAGAATCCTCTTGAGCCAAATAACAAAAGTGATTACATGGCTTTTGCATTCAGTTGTTTTTAAGGCAGGAATTAGGAATTCAAACCTCCCAAACATTTCGAAGAGTCTAAAAGACAACCCAATGAAGTCGGTTTGGCTGACTGTCCCCAGGTGGGGTTGGACTAGATGATCATGGAGGTCCCTTCCAACTCTATGCTTCTATGACCCAGTGGGCTCCATGGCAGAGGGCCCAGGGATTTGAATCCAGGTCCCTGCCGTCTGACACTCCAACCACTATACACCGCCTGTTAAACCAGTATGGTTATTTCTAGAGAAGTAGTTGGTGTTGTGTGGTTGGACACAAATACGGTTCATGTATCAGCTTACTTCCCACAATTAGAAAAGATACCTTTACACATTTATCTGCTATCTTGACATATTTATTGCTTTACAACTGTTGACCTTATAACCTTGGCTTGTTCTTTAGTTTGTCTTTGCACATCTTCATCAAGTTACATGTTAATTTGCTGTTCAGCCCGTCTAGAAGTTTGAACCTTATCTACCATTCCAATGTATTTGAAAAAGTGTGCGTGCACACGAAAGCTCATACCTTGAATAAAACTTTCCACTGGACTCTAAATTTGTTCTACTGCTTCAGACCAACACGGCTGACCACCTGGTTAATGTTGCATTAGTCCCACTTCCCAAACTACATCTCCCAGGATAGAAGGAATGCATTTTTAAAAAGATCAACACCAACACACCTGGGGAGACGAGGCCCATCCCTCAACATGCCTGAATCCTTGAATCCCTCAACATTCCCGACTTCCTCAACATTCCCGACTCCCTCAACATGCCCAAACAGCACCCAGAAAGAGCCATCTCTCCCAATCTTAGCTGAGGGATCCCCCCTCCCTGCAAACTACCCAAGTCAGGACCACTCAGGAGACCACCAAGGTTGTGAAAGACCTTTATTGAACATTCAGCCATTCCAATTCAGGGCGGGGGGGGGGAAAGACATTTCAACATGGGTGCCAAAAACAAAACCCCAGCAGATGAACAAGCAGCTCCTAAGAACTTGCCGGGATGGAAGAGAACCGAGGCCACGAGGGTGGGGGCCTGTGCCCCCTCAAAAGGACACCCCCTCCTCGACAGCACCTCCCTCAAACAGCAGCTTGCGGAAGCATCCAGGAAGGGAGAGGCTGTCATCCTGGAACCAGGAGGGACGTGGGAGGAGTGCTATTTGCTTCTCGCACGCGCAGACGGGGAGGGGGGTCTGTCCGTTGTGGAGCCCGGGGGGGAGGGTCGGGGAGAGGGGCACGCAAGGAGGGCAGAGAGTCCATCATCGCAGGCCTCCCCCCCGCAGCGCCAAGACCAGATGAAGCACCGATCCACCTTGGATCTTGTAGTCAGCTGCGGTTTTCTCGTCGTTCCTGGGGGAAGGGGGGAAGACAAAACAGGGGTGAGCATCTCCTTCCAGGGGACGGCTTGAGACGCACCGTTCACATCCAGGGCACATAATATTTGGGCAGGCAATCAGGCCAGACTAGTGTTTCTGCAGGACATTCAGCCAGGGAGCACGAGTTTCTCACTTCCTCCCACTTGTAGCGACAGGAAATGTCCCCTGAAATGGGGGAGAGGGGCATTTCAGGCAGCCCCAGAGGGAGAGGGGAGGTGGGGAAAACATGTTCTGTGGATGGATGTTCTTCCTCCGCCCCCCCCCCCCGGAAACAAAAAAAAATCTGGCTCCAACCAAGCTGCGCCGTCTTGTGTGCAAAGATTCTTACTTTGTGAGCGGCTGGCATTAAAGTTGTGAGCGAGCGATTTGGCTGCTGCATAAATTATCTTGCTCTGGAGCCATCCTTCCTGAGCTAAGACAAAAATGTGTGAGCCGGAGGCTAAAAGACTGTGAGCTGGCTCACACTAACTCAGCTTGGAGGGAACATTGGTTCCAACCTAATGAATGTCTCAAGAGTGTCTTGCAGTCTAAGTTTTAGAGCAGGGGTCCCCAGCCCTTCTGTGCACCTGCGGGCACCTTTAGAAGTCTGATGCAGCATAGTTGACGCAGTCACAAAATGGCTGCTGCAGGAGGCGGAGCCAGCCAGAACTTACCTTCCCTCGCACAGCGAAGATCCTGGTGTTGTGGTGGCGGCAGGTGCTGCCAAAGCAAAGTTTTTAAACATCTGCCCAGTCAATCAAATATCCAACGGCCAATCAGAAGCCCAGCTGGGCAAAAGCCCCACCTGGCCCTGCCCACTTTCTAAAAGAAACTTGACAGGCACCAGGAAATGTGTCAGCAGGCACCACGGAGTCCACGCCAGCCCCCCGTTTTATAGTGTTTCTCCCATAATCCACTAGGGCAGCTCCCCCGCCCACCCCGAAGACTCACATCTGCTTGCCACTGTAGATCAGCCGCTGCTGTTGGGGAGGGATGCCTTCTTTTTCTTCCACCCGCTCCTTTATTCTCTCCACCTTGGGAGGGCCGTGGGGGGAAGAGAGGAAAAATGGGGGGAAAGTCAGAGACCACACAGGACGGGAGGTGACTGCACCCTCTTTCGCATGGCCGCAGCATGAGACACGGCAAGTTATTTTAAAGCCTCCGATCGCCCCTGAGAGGCAGGTCTGATGGAGAACGCCCAACTTCTGCGATGACCCAAGCACAAATGGGGATAACACTGGTTGACCCTCCCATCCAACTGCCTTGGCGTCACTGTGGGGTGTGTGTGTGTGTGTCGCTTGACCATCAAAACCATCCCCCATCCTCTGCAAGGCAGCTGTCGGCCATGAGACAGGTTGGTGGCCCTTAAATCCCAGCCTCCCTCCCAACGGGTCGTGGTGCACAACAGACGTGAGATGCGGGCCGCAGCTAGGGAAGGGAGGGGCCAACCCCCGACACCCTCCACAGGCACAGAAAGGCAGGAAGAAGAAGAGGAGGAGGAGGAGATTGGATTTATACCCCACCCTTCACTACCCAAATGAGTCTCGGATCGGCTCACAAACTCCTTTTCCCTTCCCCTCCCCACAACAGACAGACACCCTGTGAGGCAGGCGGGGCTGAGAGAGCTCTGACAGAAACGGCTCTTTTTCCAGAACAGCCGTGCCAGAACTATGGCTTGCCCAAGGTCATCCAGCAGAAGCGCAATCCCTCCCCCCCGGGGGGTGGAGGGGGGTCAAGGCCAGTACCTTGTCTGTGGGCTCTATGTCGATCTCGATCTCTTTGCCGGTTAGGGTCTGCGAAGGAAAAGAGAGAAGCCGCAGCTGCTGTAATGTCTGTCTCCCGTCAGTCTCCAGGCACGCACCAGAATCTCTTACGTGGCACCCCTTCCATCCCCCCCGACTTTTTTGTGGGTATTTTGTGTGTATGTGTGTATGCCTGGAAGCAGGGCTATTTTTGGGCAGGAACGCACAGGAACGGAGTTCCGGCTGGCTCCCAAGTTGGCCACGCCCAGCAGGAACTCATTAGCAAAACAGGCCACACCCAACAGCAGAAACTCATTAGGATTGGCTACATTAGGGGTGTGTGGCCTAACATGCAAAGGAGTTCCTGCTACAAAAAAAGGCCCTGGGTTTCGACAACAAACAAGGTAAACAGAATAAGAAGCAAAAGGTGGGTGTGGCTGGATGACCACACTTCTGGTAACATGGGGGTGTGGCCTAATATGTTAACGTGCTGTGCTGTCAGGGGTGTGGCCTAATAGGCTAATGAGTTCCTGCTGTTGGGTGTGGCCTATCATGCTAATGAGTTCCTGCTGGGCTTTTTCTACAAAAAGAGCCCTGCCTGGAAGTCATGGTTGACTTCTGGTGACCCCTACTGGGTGAGACCCCTGGGATCCATTAGAAGCTTAGCAGCCTATTTGAGCTTGAATACTTATTGAGATCAGCATCCTATCTAAATGTATTATCTTTCCTGATCTTCTGTCAAGCACGTTATGAGTAAGAGCGCTTTGGCACTACTTTAATATTTCCTGAGGAAGATGCAGTTTTGGAATGTCGTCATATAATCCGGAGACGACGCGGAGGATGTATTGTCACACTAGGATTTTCTTATGCTTTGCAGGAATGTGTTCGTTGTGTCGTCGCGCTTGTTGACCGTGATATACAGAAAGCATCTTCTCTGCAAGTCTTGTTGACCGCTTGATCTGTGGGTCAGACTCTCACTACTGTTTTCTTTACATTTGTTCTCTGAGTAGGTCGTGGTAGAGATGTGAAGACCCGGGGGGAAAAATGGGAAAATTCGGGGAAAACCCGTTTTTTTCCTGAAGCCTTTTTTTGTTTTCCCCCCGAAAAATTTAAAAAAGAAAAGAAAAAATTTGATTATGGAACATTTTATTTTAACATGATGAATAAAATATTTTAAGACCAGGTGTTCAAATATTTTCCAAATCATTTCTTTTATATATATATATGGTATCAGATTGATCTAATTTCTGTGCACTGAGGACAAGCAAGTCCTAGGTTACAAACTGAACTCTCCAATGCAAGAACAAGATGCATTCCTTCCTTTAGGAGGTGCGGTTGTCAGAAGAAAATAAAAAAGTCAGTTTTGTTTTTGCATGTGGGTGGGTATTCTGTTTGTAATAACTGTTTGGATGCACTATATTTTTAACAGGCTAGTTGTGATAATGTCATGCCAAGTAAAAATGTCCATAGTCATATTTTATGTTCGTAAAGTAACAGAAAGACTTTCAATCTGGAAAAGACAAAAGAAGTGCTAATGTAGCATTTTTTTTTCAATTTCCCCGAAAATTTCCGTTTCCCCCAGGAAAAAAACAGAAAATAACCGGGTTTTTTTTCTGAGCTTCAAAATTTCCGGAAATTTTACATCTCTAGGTCGTGGTTGTCCACATTTGCCTGGACCCCTGCTGGGGCTCTGGATGTTTCAGAGAGGTGGCTTGCTGTCGCCCGCCTCTGCTTCCCGGCCCTGGTCTTCCTTGGAGGTCCCCCTTCCAGGTCCTTGCCAGGGTCTGCCCTGCTTAGCTTCTGAGAACTGACGAGATCGGGTTTCCCTGGGCTATCCAGGTTGGGGCCACCCTCCTGACTTTTCAACACAGCACTCTGCCTGGTATCTTGGTGGCCTCGTCTCTCCGCCTGGCCATGGCGATCAACCTGATTCAGCAAAGCAGCAGACTGGGACCAACCTGGCAGCCAACAGGCCTTCAGGAAGCCCGCTGCCGGCTCCCAGTGGGGACACCAATCATTTCTCAGCCTGTTTCCCAAAAAAAGGGTGGTGTTGAGGAACAACCACCAGGTCTCACTGGTCTCTGCCTCACACCATTCCCCCCACCCACGCTTCCCATTTGGGACGGCAATGTCAGCTCTTCAACTCTCTCCCAGGACATGTGATTGCAAGCATTCCCCAAACTGGAAGTTACTGCCTCCCCTTCCCATCATGCTCCAGGCTCGGGAAGGATGAGACCCCCTCAACATCTCCCTTCTGCATTTCCTGCCCCAACTCTGGAAGCAGGACCCACCCGTCCCATTCTGCCACACTGCTAAAGCAGAAAAGCAGGTAGTAGAGTAGAAGAAGAGATTGGATTTATACCCTGCCCTTCACTCGGTGTCTAAGAGCAGCTTACAAACTCCCTTTCCCTTCCCCTCCCCACAACAGACACCCTGTGAGGTAGGTGGGGCTGAGAGAGCTCTGACAGAACTGTCCTTGAGAGAACAGCTCTGACAGAACTATGGCTTGCCCAAGGGCATCCAGCAGCTGCAAGTGGCGGAGTGGCGAATCAAACCTGGTTCTTCCAGATTAGAATCCACACACTTAACCACTACACCAAAAGTTAAGTTGCCAAACAGGATGAGCCTAGTTCAACCTTGGTTCATGGAGGTCTATTAGTGGCTACTAGCCATGGTGACTAAAGGGAACCTCCACGTTCAGAGACAGTCAGCCTCTGGATCCTAGTGCTAGGAGGCAACTTCAGGAGAAGGCCTCTGTCTCCTGTGGATAGGCCGCCAGAGGAACTCACTGGCCACTGTGTGAGACCGGATGCTGGACTAGATGGACTACTGGTCTGATCCATCAGTGCTCTTTTGATGTTCTTATATTCTCAGCCATGAATTTACTGGGCAGTCTTAGTGAACCCACAATCATTCACAATATGGATGACAAAAGAAGAAGAACTCATCTGCCTTGGAGGCTTGGTGAAACGTTTGCAACCAAAGAATGCATTCTGGAACTCTTGGGCAAGGCCACACAAATGTGTTGTTTTATACATATGCTGTTTTTGTATATCCGCAGTGAAGACCCAACCTGGTAAAAGGCTTTTCATCAATGTGCTGGGGCACGGCAAACAGAATCCTGGAGTGGGGGTTGGGGAGAGATTCCCCCTGGGGCAAAGTGCCAGGCAGCAGCAAGTCCCATCACATCAGTGGAAGACGGAGGTGCCAGCAGTTTGCCCAACCTGGAACTCCTGGAGCTTGTTGACAAACTCAGGATTCACGCTCCAGGTGCCAAACAGCTCGGCAGACCCTTTCTGTGCTACGCAGCAGAAGAGCTGCCTGTTAGTCCATGTGGGAAGACAGAGACAGCCTGATATGGCAGCAGAAATGCTCCATTACAGTTCGGTCGAGGGAAAACAGCCAGTATCCCACCAACTTTTAAACAAGAACCGGGGGGTACCCAGGAAATGACAGACCAGGTAAATTGGTAGAAAGTGCCCTTAGAATTGTTAACACCCTTCTCCCTTCTCATTGGGAGGCCAAAGTACTTGAGCTTCAACTTCAGTGTCTGGCCTTCCAGGAAAGAGTCAGGGTTGATTTCTCTTAGGATTGACTGATTCGATCTCCTTGCAGTCCAGGGGACTCTAAACCCTATCAGACATCCATCAACATACATAAATCACAATCTAAAAGCTTTCTGCACTTGGAAGGGGTTTTGGTCTTAGCAAAGAGATCTCTCTTCTGTTTTGGCAGCACAAGTCGAACAGATGCACACCAGGTAAGAGTTGAAGATGGTTAGCTGTGTTAGTCTGTCTGTAGCAGCAGAAAAGAGCAAGAGTCCAGGAGCGCCTGAGAGTCTAAAACCAAATTCTTGGCAGGGGAGGAGCTTTCGCCCACCACGAAACAAAGTTTGTAGCAGGGGAGGAGCTTTCGCTTGTCACAAATCGTGTTCGTTTCTCAGGCGCTCCTGGACCCTTGCTCTTTTCTTAGGGCTGCCAGCTCCAAGTTGGGAAATACTGGAGATTTTGGGGGTGGAGGTTGAGGAGGGCAGGTGTTTGGGGAGGGGTACAGTGCCACAGAGTCCACCTTCCAAAGTGGCCGTTTTCCTCCAGCCGAACTGATGTACGTCACCTGGAGAACAATGTTCCCTCTAAGCTGTGGAGTCTTGTGAGCAAAAATTCTGCTTTGTGAGCTACTGGCATTAAAGTTCTGAGCGAGCGATTTGGCCGCTGCATAAATTAGCTTGCTCTGGAGCCCTCCTTCCGGAGCGGAGACAAAAATCTGTGAGCCGGAGGCTTAAAAACTGTGAGGTTGTTCACACTAACTCAGCTTAGAGGGAACACTGGTGTGGAGTCTTGTGAGCAAAAATTCTACTTTGTGAGCTCCTGGCATTAAAGTTCTGAGCGAGCGATTTGGCCGCTGCATAAATTAGTTTGCTCTGGAGGCCTCCTTCCTGAGCCAAGACAAAAATGTGTGAGCTGGAGGCTAAAAAACTGTGAGCTAGCTCACACTAACTCAGCTCAGAGGGAACACTGGTTATGATCCCAGCAGAACTCCAGCCACCTCCTGGAGATTGGCAGCCCTGTCTTTTCTACAGGTAGAGTCCAGCAGGGCGTGAAGCATCGCCGCGATCACACAGCTTCAGCGGTGTACGATGTCTACCCGCTGCTCCAGAAGGGGGGGAGAAGGCTCCACCATCATCCCGGGAGAAGGAAGGAGGGGGCCGGGAGATGCCGGCATCTTTTCCCAGAATGCACGGCGGCAGAAATGGGTGCAGCGAAGACGCGCAAATACCCCGCCATGCCCTGCGGCACGAGGTGGGCGCTCCCCAGGGGGGAGCGGGGGGGTGCCCCCGGACGCGACACCGCCCCTCGCCCGCTCTTCTTTTCTTCCTTACCTTCACTTTGATCAGCATCGTGACCGCCTCCTCACCGACTACACGCCCACCCCTGACCCCGGAAACAATTCCGATAGGCCGCGCCTCCGGCTCCTCCCGGGCGCTGCTTGTGCGACGTCACTTCCGTCGCCGCGCGCAACCCACCGCTTTTTAAAAATTATGACACTCTCTCAAAACTCCCGTCACTTGGTAATTTTGAAAAGAATGGTAGTATTCAGTCGAACGGTCGTGTGACGGAAAAATGTTTCGCCGCTGCCCGGTGCCCTCCGCGCATTAATGGTTTTAACGCCCTTCTATCGCAGTGCACGATGGGAGGTGTAGTTTTTCCTCATTCTTCGTGCTTTTAAAACTATACTATACTACTCCCTGAGGCCTTGCGATTGTCAGTAGAAAGTCTTTGGAAGTTTTTTAAAAAGTGAGTAAGGGCGTTACACGTCAAGAGTTTGGTTTTTCCCCCCAGATTTATTTAATCACTTATAAGTACATATATAAATAATCCGCGGCACCCCTCGAGGCTACTGGACTACATCGACCGTCAAGCATTGCGACAGTAATCCTTACGGTCGACTGCTTTTTGTCGCGCGAGATTGCTGGGAAATATGGTCCTTTCCTTCCGTAAATGTGATTGGCTCACAGTTTTTGTCGAGACTAGCACACATATCGCAATACGCTATAGGCACCGCGCTCCTTTATGGGAAATGTAGTCCCTTCCGTCCCCTTTAGCATTGGGTAGAACCAGCTTCAAGACTTCATCTCCCTGACGGCACTGCGCCGGGAACAGTAACGGGACCAGAAGAGCAAGTGGACAGGTGTCTCTAGAGAATCCGAAGCCGTGGAAAGGTGAGTGCGGACTCGTAATCTGACATCAGGTACCCGGAAGTCTACGTGCAGGGAAAAGGGGAGCCGAAAGTGGGTTTTATAGAGCGAGTCAGAGGTCTTGGGTTGCTATCCAAGACTGGCACAGCCAACAGCACGGGACAGCCTTGCAAAAGGTGCCGCCGTATGGGATGGCGTGTAGAAATGGGGAATCCAAAAGATCCAGGAGGAGAGGCTGAGTTTGAATCTCTCCACCGTTGGGGTGGGGCAGGACTGAGACTTGGAAATCACGCATGACGTGGGGAAAGAGGAGAGAACCCCTTTTCTCCCTCATCCATAATGCTAGAACTCAAGGTCGCCCAGTAAGACTGATGGACAGAAGGAGGCATTTCTTCACAGACTGTAATCACAGGCTCATTGCCATGGGATCTGGTGATGGCCACTAACTCAGGTAGAATTAAAAGGGTATTCAACAGATTCAAGGCTAGATCTACAGATGGTTGATAGGCACAGTAGCTCACTAGAGCAGGGGTGTCAAACATGTGGCCTGGGGGCCGGATCAGGCCCCTGGAGGACTTCTATCAGGCCCGCAGCGGAGCTGGCCATCTCCTGCTTCTTCTTCCAGTTCTGCTGCTGCTGCGTCATCGTCGGTTTGCAGCTTACAGATTCACACCTGAGCAGCATAAGATTGAAACAGCACAGACATTCTGATGCAATAATTCAGAGAGCAAGAGGTGTCAGTTATCAGACACTGTTAAATAAACCAAATATTGCAAGCGTGCTAATGTTTTAAGCATGTTCTTATTTTAAGTTTTAAAAAACACACCTTTGTGTTTGTGTCCTTTATAAAGTTTATCTCTCCGCTCCCTGGCATTACATTTTATGACACGCGTGGCCCAGCCCAACAAGGCCTCATTTATGTCAGATCCGGCCCTCGTAACAAATGAATTCGACACCCCTGAACTAGAGCTTCCGTATGCAGAGGCAGTGCACATCTCAGAACCATGAAGATTGTTTCAGAGGGTAGCCGTGTTGGTCTTTCGTAGAGCAGCTAGATTCGAGTCCCAACAAGATTTTGGGGACATGAGCTTTCAATATGAGGTCTCAGGGAACTCCATTCCTACTTGTATCTGACGAAGGGAGCTTTGACTCGCGTAACCCCAAAATCTTGTTGGTGTCTAAGGCACTTCTGGACTCAAACCTAGCTGTTCTCAAAACCAGCTGCCAGTGGGGGGCAGCCAGCAAGAGACTTCCTCCTTAACCTCCATGCCCCAGCTTGCAAACTTTCCAGGAAGGTCTGACTGACCAATGTGGGCAAACAGGATGCTGGACTAGATGAGTGTTTGGTCTAATCTAGCAGGCTTTCTCTTATGTGCTACAATTGCAGTTAATGCCTCTGTCTCTATTACAGGCAAACATTCAGTTGATTTTGAGAGAGACAGCGTCTACCTAAGCATGCTTGTGCAGAAACAAGGCTGATGTGAAACGGGTAGACATTGCCTGCCACGGATGGCACTGGGTGTGGAAATAAGCTTTAGAAGCAGGGGTCATTTGGTAGAAGAAGAGGTGCAGGAGCTCATTACCATAACTCATTTGCATAGCTTATTTGCATATGCCACACACCCCTGACATCACCGGACGTGTGTCAGAAGGCAACACCCACTACTCAGGCTCCACTGGACTGTTTTGGACTGCTAGCTACTGGGGGGGGGGGGACTCACAGATCTGCCGTCACAGAGGAGGGAGAGCTTGTACCTGAAGGAGGGCCGGGGCGGGGGGGGGGCTTTGCAACTTACTTGGCTGCTGCTTGTTCCTCGTGGCCCAACTGAGGGCTGCTGAAAGCAGGGGGCAGGGCTTGTTGCATGTGCCCGCCCCCTGGGCTCCTTACTGCCGGAGCTCCGCTCCTGTGCGCTCCCCGCAGGATATGACCCCTACTTAGAAGAATGTGATGGAGCAGAGTTGGGGCGAAATCCTGGCGATGCCAGCTCTGCCAGAGTTCAGTCAGAGGATCGTGGGTTTAACGTAAGCCTAAAAATGGAGGAGATGTTGAAAGCAGTGTCAGGTGGTCTCAGATCTGCAGCAGGATACGGAAGGTCAGGGTGCTGGACTTGGGGCAGCAGATGGTACACTGAAGACATGTGAAGGAAGCTAGTCGTAGAGGGTCAAGGGCCTGTATTGGGAGCAGCAGTTCAGATCTCATGAGAGGCTCAAGGAGCAGAGTCCTGACTTGTACAGTATGTTCTTTCCAAGGCAAAAGGAGCCAGGGGTTGAGCTAAAAACGGGTGCCATGAAAAGCTGCTAGCAAGCCAGAACTCCCAGAAGTTACACCCTTTGTTAAAGGTAAGCACTTAGAAACAAAAACCACTGGGAAAGATCACAGAAGCATAGAGTTGGAAGGGACCTCCAGGGTCATCTAGTCCAACCCCCTGCATGATGCAGGAAATTCACAAATACCTCCCCCCCCCACATCCCCAGTGACCCCTGTTCCATGCCCAGAAGACGACAAAAAACCTTCAGGATCCCCGGCCAAAGTGGCCTGGAGAAAAATGGCTCCCTGACCCCAAAGTGGTGATCACCATTTCCCTGGGCGTGTAAGAAAGGGCCACGAGAACTAAGCACTGAGGCAGCCCTTCCCGCCCTCCCTTCCCGTGATCTGCCTAAGTTCACAGGATCAGCACTGCTGTCCGATGGCCATCCAGCCTCTGTCTGAAAACCTCCAAAGGAGGTGAGCCCGCCACCTCCCGAGGAAGCCTGTTCCACTGAGGAACCGCTCGAACTGCCAGGAAGTCCTTCCTCATGTTTAGCCGAAAACTCTTCTGATCTAATTTCAACCCGTTGGTTCTGGTCTGACCGTCTATGTCTCTGTTAGGATAACACACCACATAAAAACACAAGTGTGCCCTTCATTAACGCTCACTGTCACATTGGTTAACGTTGGCCCTCACTGACCGGTCCGCTGAAACTTTTAAATCTGCTCCTCCAAGTTCTCAGCCCTTTGTGAAATCACACAGGATTCCTGGCACCTTTCTGATGTGATCCCTTGGCTTTTTCTTTTTTTGGTGCAGAGGTCCAAAATGCCGCACATCGACACAGACATTAAGTTGGACTTCAAGGATGTCCTCCTGAGGCCCAAACGGAGCACCCTCAAATCCCGCAGTGAGGTGAAGAGAAACATTTTTTTTAAATCAAAGTTTATCTTTCTTTTTGGCAGCTTAATAGTAAACTTCTCCAGGAGACAGCTTGAGAGTGTCTTAATCGGGTTGACGCATGCGCAGTTTCTCAGATATTATGTCACAGGTGAGGAGAAACATTTGGCCTCGTCCGGGAAGTTGGAAAGGGTACCCGAGAGACGGTGGGCCAGAGCACAAAGCCTGCAACATCCGCAGGGTGAAATCTCGCTGCGGATCTCGCAACCAGATCTTGCGCGGGTATCGCATGTCCTCTGGAACTGGGCTCCACGCCCACTTCTTTCCAGGTGAGGATTACGGGACGATTGGTCGGCAGCAGGGCCAAGTACAGGATGAATGGCTTCCCCGCGATCTGGCTTCCACTGTTACGTGGGAGACGCCAGTCTCTTGGCAGATCAGCCCCCCTGCCGGTCGTGTCTAAGATGCCGTCCCGTTTTCTAGGTGGATCTCATGAGGTCTTTCGTGTTCCGGAATTCCAAGCAGACGTATACCGGGATCCCCATCATTGCTGCCAACATGGACACCGTGGGCACCTTTGAGATGGCCAAGATGCTCTGCAAGGTAGGGTGGTCGTTGGGGACGCTTGATAACTGCAAGGGCAGCCTGCCAGTCCCAGTCCACGAATTACAGCTGCTTATCGCCTGCCTCCACCTCTGGATTTCCTTCTCCCAGCCCCTCTCATGAACACACGTAGAACACAAGAAGCCACCTTATACTGAGTAAGACTTGTGTTCCACCACAGTCCGTGCTGTCTACTGAGACTGGCAGCCGCTCTCCAGGGTCTCGGGCACGGAGGTCTTTCCCATCACCTGGTCTGTTTAACTGGAGATGCCGGGGACTGAACCTGGGATCTTCTGCACACCAGTCAGATGCTCTGCCACTGAGCCACGGCCTCTCCCCTTCTGCTAAAGTCAGAAGAGCAGGCATAAGGAGCAGAAGGTTCCTTTTATCATATGTGGTAGACTTGTGATAGAGCTGTGAACTTTTGGACGGAGGTCCATAATGAAATGCAGAAAATTTTGAAATGTTCTTTCAAAAAAGAACAAGAAGTATTACTTTTGGGTCTTAAAATGGAAGAAGTGAATGTAACAAAGAGAACATTGTTATGGTATTTGATTACAACGGCCAGAATGACATATGCTCAATGTTGGAAGCAAGAAAGAATACCTGAACTATGGGAATGGCTAAGGAAGCTACTCTTTATGGCTGAAATGGATAAAATGACAAAAAAGTTGAACAATAAAGAAGATGAAGAATTTTTTGCGGATTGGAAGGACTTCAAAGAATATATAGAGAAACATTGGGATGTCAAAAATAAACTTTTTTGCTTTAGTAATTATTAAGAATAGACTTTAGGAATGTTGGAAAGAAACTGTTATCGAATAGGTTACCTATGAGACTGAAAAAAATATAAGTAAGGTAGTAAAAGAAATTGTGAACCTTCAAATAATATCAAACTGAAGGGAAGGATTAAGAGAGGAAATGTGGTGGGGGTGGGAACGCTGCGGGAAGCCTGGGGAAGGGGTGGGAGGGAAAAGGGGATGTATTAAGAAATGGTGAACTGGTTAATTTTGGACTTGTTTTATATCCCGTTAATAAAAACTTGTTTTAATAAACAGAAGAGCAGGCATAAGACCAGATCAGCCCCTTCTGGTCCCAGTCTCACCTTCTGATCTTTCCCTGTCTTCCCCCCCAGTTCTGCCTTTTCACAGCCATCCACAAACACTACAGCCTGGAAGAGTGGAAGGAGTTTGCAGCCCAGAATCCAGAGTGCCTTCAGGTGAGCGAGAGTTGATTGTGCCTTCCGCCTCCTGGCCTTTCCCGTGGGTGTTCCCCCGGGGAAGGATAGTGCCGCCCCCTCTCTCCCAGTCCCCCCATCTGCCGGTTCTCAGCTCTCCATCCCGCGCCTCTTCCCAGAACGTGGCAGCCAGTTCGGGCACCGGGCCCTCGGACTTCGAGCTGCTGGAGCAGATTCTGGAGGCCGTGCCCCCGGTGCGCTACATCTGCCTGGACGTGGCCAACGGCTACTCGGAGCACTTTGTCCAGTTCCTGCGAGACGTGCGGAAGCGCTTCCCTGACCACACCATCATGGTAGGTCCCCACAGTTCCCGGCGCACTCTTTGGGTGATTTCCCACAAGCGCTGCTCCGCACTCACTCTTCTCTTTGGCCCGACGGTATGTGTTAATTTCACACAAGCTGCTGCGCAGCCGCATTTTGCCCCGCAGCTTCGTGCGATTTCCCCCGCGTCTACGCAATCCTGTTTTTTGAGGATTGAGTAGACACGGGGAAAATCGCACGAAGCTGCGGGGCAAAATGCAGCCGCGCAGCAGCTTGTGTGAAATTGACACGTCCATCGGGGCAAAAGGGAGGAGTGAGCGCGGAGCAGCGCTTGTGGGAAATCACCCTTTGCCTTTCTCCACCAACATTGTCCTGGATTGACTTTTGTTTTGTTTGCTTCCGTCTGTCTTTGCGGCTGGCACTTTCTCTCCATGATCAGTCCTGTACCATGAAGGGCTGTGGTGGCTAGAGTGGTTAAGACACTGAACTGCAGACCGGGAGGTTGTGTCAGGATCAACAGCAAGCAAGTCCAAACACACTCTTCAGGAAAAGTTATGCTTTATTGGAATACTGGTCTGTTGTCAAGTGCTACAGGTACATTGTTAGGAATAACAATTAGTGCAAGGGACTCACTACATATACTTCAACTAGCTGAGCAAATGAAGTTCAAGCACTCGCGCGGGAATTCTCCCGGCAGGACATTACATCATGAACGGGAGACTCTCCCCACCCTGAGAGCAGAAATATTGACACCGATAGTGGAACTCAAGCCCTCCCTTCTCGTCAAGGTTGCGCTGATAGCGCTGTCTGGCTGAGCCAGTTCTCACGGATGAAAGCGAGCCTCCCTTAAGTTACCCACGGCAGCAAAGCAAGCATGCGCGCGTGCGCACACAAGGGTCGGGGATGAAGGTAAACAAAGAAAGCATGGCAGCTAGCAGACAGGTTGGCAAGTTCGAGACCAGAGTGTCACGTGACGGAGTGAGCTCCCGTCTCTGGTCCCACCTCCTGCCAACCTAGCAGTTCGAAAACAAGAGATTGCAAGAAGATAAATAGGTACCGCTTCGGTGGGGAGGTCACAGTGTTCCGTGCGCTTCGGCATCTAGTCATGCCGGCCACATGACCACGGAGAAGTCTTTGGACAGCGCTGGCTCTTCGGCTTGGAAATGGAGATGAGCACCACCCCCAGAGTCAGATGTGACTGGCTTTCCAGCGAGGGAAACCTTTACCCTTTACCTACCATCAGGGCTCATTTCCTGCAGGAGCGCACAGGAGCGGAGCTCCAGCAGTAAAGAGGCCAGGGGGCGGGAAGATACAACAAGCCCCACCCCCTGCTCCCAGCAGCCCTCAGTCAGAGCAAGAAGCAGCCAGGTAAGTTGCAGAGCTCCCCCCGGCCCCCCAGTCCAAAAAAGTCCAGTGGCACCTTTAAGACCAAGTTTTATTCAGGTGCAAGCTCTCCCTCCTCTGCGAGGACAGATCTGCACGTTCCTCCCGTCCCCCGATAGCTAGCAATCCAAAACAGTCCAGTGGCACCTTTAAGACCAAGTTTTATTCAGGTACAAACTCTCCCTCCTCTGTGAGGACAGATCTGCATGTTT